GGGGGGCATCCTGTCCCTTCCTTGCTCTGCTATTGGCTTCCCACTACGAGGGGAGGAGCTTCACCCCACTGTGTGCTCCCTGCTGTGATAACACTGCCCCAACACAGGCCCAGAGCAATTGATCATGGACTGAAACCTTCAAACTCTGTGAGCTTTCTCCTCTTCATAAGTAGATTATTCAGGTATTTTGTTACAGTAACAGAACAGAAACACACTCCTTCCAATCAGATTACCTGCTTCCACCCTTGCCCTGCATAGAAATTCTGGAATGATCACTGTTAGAACGTATCTAGATACAGAAACCCGGAAGCTGAGGAGGCCCAGCCACGTGAGTTTGAAAAACAGATGAGAGTGTGGTCATTAGAGAGAGGTCAGAATTAACGACTGGGAAACAGATTGACCGGGAAGCTGTCAAGCAGAGGCCGAGTTTGCATGCCTTTGTTTTTGAGGAAGAGAGATCAGTTGATCATTATGTAAGGAATTAGGGGGTTCAGCACCCAATAAAGTAGGTAAGTTGCAAGTACCCAGCATAGATTTGAAGTTGATCCTTACATGACTTGTGTTAATAGTCTTATTTAGCAAAAGCCTTCCTTCCCAATTCTCAATACCACACCTCCAGTGTGGTGCAGTTATAAGTCTGCACTGTCCCAGCTTTAGGTCATTCCCATTCCAGCACAGACTCCTCATGACGAGGATTCCCAAAGGCTGGTTCCATAGCACAGTGGCTGTCACATGTGCCTCACAGAGCCTCTAAGGTACCTTCCCATACGGCATGTGATTTATAAGAAAATAAAAGGCTGCGTGTAGCTCAGTGGCACACCCCATGCTTAGCGTGAACAAGGCTCTGGCTTCAACTTCCAGCATCAAGAAAGAAGAAAAAAGATGCAGAGTGGGGCCTGGGGCACACAGGGTCCCAAGAGGCTGGGTGCTGGACCCCATGAGGAACCTCACCACCCAGGACGAATAGTTCCCAGCCTAGGTGCTTGTATACTGATTTCAGAATTCTGAACTCAGGACTTGGAAAGTAAGAAAGAAAATGACTGAGGAGCCAAGTGGCGGTGGCTTGGCCATGGCACCAGAGCATTAGTGGTGGCTGCGGCTCTTGGCGTAGACTTAAAACGTTGACTGTAGTAAGAAGATGTCTCATTACTTGTTCCCCCAGCCATGGAGGAAGATGTGAGAGCAGACACCAAAAAGTCAACCAGATCTTAGACCATGTAGAAGACACTCAACCCATCTGTCTCCTTGAGCAAAAGCGGAAAGTGGTTTTCTCCATTATTGATATTCCTCTAGCTGGAAATTCAAGCCATCAAGAAACTGTTGCCTGTGTTTGCGGCACAGAAGCCAAAATGTTCTTCTTAAACACGAATATAATCATGTGGACAGAGGGATGGAGACAAGAAAATAGGAGGAACCAGCGTAATTGAAATTATGACCACTCCCATAAGCTTAGAACTGTGGTTGCCTCCTGTGAACCTCCCTTCCCAGGAGCCTGGAGCTATGGTCCCCTCCTGTGAACTGGAGCTGTGGCCCCCTCCTATGAACGTGGAGATTTGGTACCTAACCTTGAGCCACAGTTCTACATTCCTCTGGTGGTGGGTTGGTGGCAGAGCAGATTGGAGGGTGCAGGACTTCCCAGTTGGCACCAGTTTCAGCCTCTCTGAGTGGCTGCATCTCCCACATTCTTCTTCCCCAAGGTCCCAGGTTGTGCATGGCGGTGGTTTTGCCTTTGTGTTGGGCTTATCCTGGGGACAGGGGAGGTTTCTGTCATTTGAAGATTCTAGTCTTGGGAACACTGATTCTCAAGAATGGGCTTCCCACCTCCTTTGATGGCCAGGGGTGGCAGGACCACCTGCCCAGGGTGGCACCACCCACAGTGGCCTGGGCCCTCCCACACCACTCAACAATCAAGAAAATGCCTCACAGACATGGCCACAGGTCAGTCCAATGGAGGAAATTCCCCAACTGAGGCTTCCTTTGCCCAGGTGTGTCAAGCTGATGACCGAAGCCAACCAAGACACCCTGCAAATGAAAATTTGTATTTACATGATGTACCAAGAAATGCTTTGTTAGTTTCATTGAGGTATAATTATACGCTATCTAATTCACCTGTTCAAAGTGTGCAAACCAATGGTATACTTCCCATGGGAGCTGGTGAATATTTTCAACCTACAAACTCAGATCTTTGTTCTCTTTTTAGAATTAAGATTTGTTGGTCTGGAGAGACGGCTCAGTGGTTAAGAACACTGGCTGCTCTTGCCAAGGACCGGGATTCAGTTCCCAACACCCACATGGCTGCTCAAAACGCTCTGTAACTCCACTTCCAGGGGATCCGATGCCCTTTTCTGGCCTCCGCAGGTATTGCACACGTATGGGATACACACGCAAACATACACATAAATAAAAACAAATAAATCTAAGAGTTTTTAAATTAAAAAAAACAAAGTTACAACAATAACAACAGGAAACTTTAATATTTGCGTTTTATAACATTTAACGGTCTATTGGGACTCTCTGGTCTAGTTGTATTTATTTCCAATTTTTCACAGAGCACATTCCACAATTCCCATCAGCAGGAAGCACTTTTCCTCCTCCCCCTGCTTCCTCTCCTACCCCCTTCAATATGACGCCCCCTTCTGGTGATGAATCCTTTAAAGTGGGAGAAGAAAACAGGATGATGAGGATGAAGATGATGGTGATGGCGAAGATGATGGTGATGGTGAAGATGATGTCGATGGTGAAGATGAGGATGATGTCGATGGTGAAGATGAGGATGAAGATGAGGATGATGAAGATGAGGATGAAGATGATGGTGATGGCGAAGATGATGTCGATGGTGAAGATGATGATGATGACGATGGTGATGGTGAAGAAAATGATGCTGATGAAGATGGCGATGATGAAGATGATGAAGATGAGGATGATGAAGATGATGGTGATGGTGAAGATGAGGATGAAGATGATGTCGATGGTGAAGATGATGTCGATGGTGAAGATGAGGATGGTGAAGATGATGTCGATGGTGAAGATGAGGATGATGAAGATGATGGTGATGATGAAGATGATGACTGTGACAGTGCTGATGCTGATGTGGTGATGGTGGTAATGGTGATGGTGATAATGGTGATGGTGATAATGGTGATGGTAGTAATTAATGGTGATGATGATAATGGTGATGGTGTTAATGGTGATGGCGGATGGTGGTACCGAGATGATGGTGATGGTGAAGATGATGTCGATGGTGAAGATGAGGATGATGAAGATGATGGTGATGGGGAAGATGAGGATGATGAAGATGATGGTGATGGGGAAGATGAGGATGATGAAGATGATGGTGATGGGGAAGATGAGGATGATGAAGATGATGGTGATGGGGAAGATGAGGATGATGAAGATGATGGTGATGGGGAAGATGAGGATGATGAAGATGATGGTGATGGGGAAGATGAGGATGATGAAGATGATGGTGATGGGGAAGATGAGGATGATGAAGATGATGGTGATGGGGAAGATGAGGATGATGAAGATGATGGTGATGGGGAAGATGAGGATGATGAAGATGATGGTGATGGGGAAGATGAGGATGATGAAGATGATGGTGATGGGGAAGATGAGGATGATGAAGATGATGGTGATGGGGAAGATGAGGATGATGAAGATGATGGTGGTGGTGAAGATGAGGATGGTGAAGATGATGTCGATGGTGAAGATGAGGATGATGAAGATGATGTCGATGGTGAAGATGAGGATGCTGATGAAGATGGCGATGATGAAGATGACACATACATTAAGGTTCCACATAGCCTCACTGGTAATACTCAGCTATTGGCTTTGCTGACCCTTAAGATACCCAGTGAGTGGTGGGAGACAGAAAGCAGTTCCCACTGCTGTGAGCGGGGGTGAACTCACCAACACACTGCTGGTTCCCTCCTGGAGGTTGTGCCCCAGGTGGGAGCCTCTCAACACTCTTCAGAGTGACTTTGCCTCCAGAGCAGCTGCCCTCTATCCCCCAAAACCTGGAGTTCAGGCAGCCTTCTACATGCCCTGGACCCAGGAAAGTGATACTCACAGGCCTTCTGGGAGGAGAGTTGTGAGAGTCTCACACCGTGCATGGCGAAGATGATGTCGATGGTGAAGATGATGATGATGACGATGGTGATGGTGAAGAAAATGATGCTGATGAAGATGGCGATGATGAAGATGACACATACATTAAGGTTCCACATAGCCTCACTGGTAATACTCAGCTATTGGCTTTGCTGACCCTTAAGATACCCAGTGAGTGGTGGGAGACAGAAAGCAGTTCCCACTGCTGTGAGCGGGGGTGAACTCACCAACACACTGCTGGTTCCCTCCTGGAGGTTGTGCCCCAGGTGGGAGCCTCTCAACACTCTTCAGAGTGACTTTGCCTCCAGAGCAGCTGCCCTCTATCCCCCAAAACCTGGAGTTCAGGCAGCCTTCTACATGCCCTGGACCCAGGAAAGTGATACTCACAGGCCTTCTGGGAGGAGAGTTGTGAGAGTCTCACACCGTGCAAGTAGTCACACTCCCACATCGTCACACAAGCCAACCCTAGACTAATCCTGCCACAGACCCTCCCCTTGAATCCCTCCCAGCTCAGTTTTGCCAACTCGGTTCTCCAGGTCCTGCTTGGGGCAAGAAGACTTGGAAAATGGGGACACAAATCTGAATGAGGGTGTGTAGGTTTTACTGTGGTGTTGTGAGTGCACATGGATTCCAGCCTGAACGTTCTCTCATATAACTGGGAAATTCCCCTCTGAGCTCTAGCTACCCACCGTGCACACATATACACACACTCTTCGGACATGTTGGATGTATTTATTTCTTTGCTAAATGGCCAATGCATTATCCTTTCTTATGTCTGGTAAAGACAGGAGAGGGGAAGGTATCCTTCTCTATGATGTCGGGAAGGAAGGGAGGGATAAGCAGTAAACGAAGGTCTCCCCTGAGGACACAGTCCTGGGCTCCATGGCCAGTTGTTATCTCCCATTCATCTCTATGGCTTCAGAGGTTACTGGTCTCCTCCAGGACCAGCTGGGGCTCCGTACAGGCCTGTGGGGCTCTGGGTCAAGGTGGGAGCCATGGGCATAGTAGAAAACTGGGTCAACGGCATTACTCAGGGACAGGTATTTTCTCTAGAAAAAGAAGAGTCCACAATTTTAGAACCTTGTCTTTCTCTCCCAAACACTGTTACAGGTAGGAAAGCTGGAGGGGGCAGAGCCATCTAAGCCCTTTGGAACTAAGCCCAAGACACTGGACCTGGAGCTACAGGATTTGGTGTTTTCCCTGTTGGGTTTCAGTCTTGCTTTAGTCCAGGATTTCCTCACTGTGCCCCCCTTCCTCCATTTTGGAATAAGAATGTATATTGTGTCATTGTACATTGGAAGTATGTAATTCAATTTAAAAAAATTTATTATTCAAAGCATAAAAATTTGCTCCTTAATAATTAGTAGATGTGAAAAAGATTACCATTGAAATCTACCTGATGACTTTATATCCATGCTCAGATGCCAAGGAGCTCAGAAAGTAACCGACTGTGACTAGCAATAATCTGATATAGAGATTAGAAACGCATGTGCAAACCTCTTAATGTCAACTGCATTAAAAATGAAGTTTTCTGGATGAAACTCTGTATTTTAATAATGAAATGGAGATCTTTTTTAAAGGTTAAAACCTCTTTTAAGTTTATGTCTTATGGGGTTTATACTGAGTACAATATTGTATAACTGTAATAATTCAACTGTAAACCTAAAAATGTACAGCCAATTTTGTAAGAGATGCAGCCTAGCTCAGAAAATTGTTATTGAATATGTCAATGCTGATGTAATGAAATGCTTCTTCTAAGTATGTGGTTATTAAATAATTTAAAAATATTTTATTATTTTTATTTTTTGTGTCTGAGTGTATTGCCTGCATGTATGTAAGTGCACCTGTGTCATGCAAGCCAGCTGAGGCCAGTAGAGGGTGTTGGATTCCCCTGGAACTGGAGTTATGGATGGTTGTTAGCCGCCATATGGGTGCTGGGAATTGAATCCAGGTACTCTGGAAGAGCAGCCAATGCTCTTAACCACTGAGCCATTGCTCCAGCCCCAATTTGCTTTTATCTTACAGAGGGTCACCATTAAGAGATTGCCTTGAGTCTCAGAAGGGACTTTGGACTTTTAAACAGTGTTGGGACTGTTAAAAACTATGAGGACTTTGGAAGTTGGATTAAACACATTTTGCATCATGAGATAGCCATGAGCCTATGGGATCCAGGAAGTGGAATGTGATGGTTTGAATGATAAATACCCCTCGGCTCAAGTATCTGAACACTTGATCCCCACTTCGTGCTGTTTGGGGACGTTTAGGAGGTGTGGCCTTGCTGGAGGAAGCATGTCACCATGGGCAGGCTTCGAGGGTCCTAACCTTCCCCCACTTCAGTCCACTCCACTCTGTGTCTGCAGTTGGAGATGTGACTTCGCCCCTTCTTGCTCTAGCCGCCCTGCCATTACCAACTCTCCCTGTGGAACCATAAGCCCAAATAAACTTACCTGATCCTGGTATTTTATCACAGCAACCAAAGTGACTAATAGCGAAGTCTTACCAGAACCTACCCTGGGGCCCTACGCCGGCCCCGCCCCGGCCCCACCGCTGCTCTCCACCGGCTCCTCTAAGCTCTCTCTCCAGCCTCCATTCCCCTTCAGCACCCAAGGGCAGCGGTGTCCTCTGCACCCAGGTCGTTTCCTCTGGTTACAACTTGCTGTTGCTGTTTGAAGAGCTCTCCTGATCTGCATTTCCTCCCTATCGGGCTCTGACTTGGGTCCCTGTGATTCCCATCTTCTCGTGTCCCTGCTGCTCCTTCCCCAAGGCACCTTGTCACGAATTAGACACTCACCACATAAAGGAAGATCCCAGCAAAGAGCACCAAGGCCATGACAACAGAGGCCAGGGTGATGAGGACGATTTCCCATGGCGTCAGGGACCCTCCAGGCTTCAGCTCATCCGGCGGAGCCGCAACACTGGTGCCAGTTTGGTGGGAGGTTGTGTGAGTTTCAGTTGGAACAGGTGCGTTAGATCTGCTGGGAGTGGTGTTCATGCCAGCGTTGGGGGCTGTGGTGGCCCCACTGGAGGCTGAGGTGGGTGCAGGGCTGGGGGCTGTGGTGGCTCCACTGGAGGCTGAGGTGGAGGCAGGGCTGGGGGCTGTGGTGGCCCCACTGGAGGCTGAGGTGGGTGCAGGGCGGGGGGCTGTGGTGGCTCCACTGGAGGCTGAGGTGGAGGCAGGGCGGGGGGCTGTGGTGGCCCCACTGGAGGCTGAGGTGGATGCAGGGCGGGGGGCTGTGGTGGCTCCACTGGAGGCTGAGGTGGAGGCAGGGCGGGGGGCTGTGGTGGCCCCACTGGAGGCTGAGGTGGATGCAGGGCGGGGGGCTGTGGTGGCTCCACTGGAGGCTGAGGTGGAGGCAGGGCGGGGGGCTGTGGTGGCCCCACTGGAGGCTGAGGTGGATGCAGGGCGGGGGGCTGTGGTGGCTCCACTGGAGGCTGAGGTGGAGGCAGGGCGGGGGGCTGTGGTGGCCCCACTGGAGGCTGAGGTGGATGCAGGGCGGGGGGCTGTGGTGGCTCCACTGGAGGCTGAGGTGGAGGCAGGGCGGGGGGCTGTGGTGGCCCCACTGGAGGCTGAGGTGGATGCAGGGCGGGGGGCTGTGGTGGCTCCACTGGAGGCTGAGGTGGAGGCAGGGCGGGGGGCTGTGGTGGCCCCACTGGAGGCTGAGGTGGATGCAGGGCGGGGGGCTGTGGTGGCTCCACTGGAGGCTGAGGTGGAGGCAGGGCGGGGGGCTGTGGTGGCCCCACTGGAGGCTGAGGTGGATGCAGGGCGGGGGGCTGTGGTGGCTCCACTGGAGGCTGAGGTGGAGGCAGGGCGGGGGGCTGTGGTGGCCCCACTGGAGGCTGAGGTGGATGCAGGGCGGGGGGCTGTGGTGGCTCCACTGGAGGCTGAGGTGGAGGCAGGGCGGGGGGCTGTGGTGGCCCCACTGGAGGCTGAGGTGGATGCAGGGCGGGGGGCTGTGGTGGCTCCACTGGAGGCTGAGGTGGAGGCAGGGCGGGGGGCTGTGGTGGCCCCACTGGAGGCTGAGGTGGATGCAGGGCGGGGGGCTGTGGTGGCTCCACTGGAGGCTGAGGTGGAGGCAGGGCGGGGGGCTGTGGTGGCCCCACTGGAGGCTGAGGTGGATGCAGGGCGGGGGGCTGTGGTGGCTCCACTGGAGGCTGAGGTGGAGGCAGGGCGGGGGGCTGTGGTGGCCCCACTGGAGGCTGAGGTGGATGCAGGGCGGGGGGCTGTGGTGGCTCCACTGGAGGCTGAGGTGGAGGCAGGGCGGGGGGCTGTGGTGGCCCCACTGGAGGCTGAGGTGGATGCAGGGCGGGGGGCTGTGGTGGCTCCACTGGAGGCTGAGGTGGAGGCAGGGCGGGGGGCTGTGGTGGCCCCACTGGAGGCTGAGGTGGATGCAGGGCGGGGGGCTGTGGTGGCTCCACTGGAGGCTGAGGTGGGTGCAGGGCTGGGGGCTGTTGTGACCCCACTGGAGGCTGAGGTGGATGCAGGGCTGGAGGCTGTGGTGGCTCCACTGGAGGCTGAGGTGGATGCAGGGCGGGGGGCTGTGGTGGGTCCACTGGGGGCTGAGGTGGGGGCGGGGCTGGGGGC